TGACTGGTAGATTTTCTCTAGTGAGAGCAATAAAATGTAATCTCTCAAAGAAAAATAACAATTAATTTGCTCCTGGATCACTATCTTGTGGTTCTCCTTAATGTTTTAAATGTTCTTTCAACCACCAAGCTTGCTTTGAAATAAGCCGGTAACACTGTTAAAGGGACCTCTATTGTGCCTATTTTTTAAATATAATTCTGGACCTTAATACCAAACTCGGTACAACTTCCTTCCCTTTTCAACTGCCCTTCCCTTTACGCCAGCTTTCTTGATTGGCTTTCCTCTGGAAACAGAAGGTCTAAAGATACAGATCCAGTATGGTCATATTTAGAGCCCCAGTTTCACAGGCATAGAGACCAGTCAGAGAACTCCCTGGCAACCTCCAGTCGCTAGGGAAACCTGGTTCATAGGTGGTTGCTGGAGGTTGCAGGCAGGTTGCCACAGTTGCCAATAGTCTGCATGGAAAATGCTGACAAACACTGGCCGCTCACTGTCTGAGCCATAAAGAAACAAATAAGTGCGATGCAGATCGGAAACGGAGAACGTTTGCTTTCACGAGTAAAAGTTGGGCCTTTTCAGATGTTTTGGTTGGAGCATTAAAGCAGAGCTTTCACTTTGAGGTCCCTATTTCTGTTTTGCATAAAGCTCAGGGAGCAGTGTGCAGACAATTCGCCATCTTCCATGCAAACTGCCGGCGACTGCGGCAACCTGGAAGTCGCAGGGAGGTTTTCGGCACAGCATCCTGTATTTGTAACAAATTTCACATTATCCACTGACACCAATCGGATGAGGAATACACACTTCAGAAAGAAAAGAATAGAAAAGTCTAATTCAAATCTTTCACTCTGTCAGATTTATATAGTCGTTGATAATGTTTTGCTGGAGTTGTGTTTGCTTGATTACTGGATTTTTTTTTTTCTTTCTTTTCATTCACACCTTCACTGTTTATCAGTGCGACTTTCACACATTCAGGCTTCAGTCAGCTCATTTTTGCACTCCTAACAACAAACCTGCTCAGGCTTTCATCGTGTCGTCGGTGCACTTCATGCTGGCAGCTACATAAAAAGCCCAATTTCTACCATTCAACCTGACATGTCGTATGACAGAGCGTAGGGTATGATCTGTGGAAGTCAGACCTGTTTAGATGCACCTTTTATACCTGACACCTTCTCCACTGTCTGCCTGTGCTTGGTCGTGCCTCTGAACTCATCTCATTGAGCTGTCCTCGCTGTGCCATGTGATTGCTTTGGTCAGATGCACTCTACAAGATGGCAGGAATGCAGTCACATTATCTTTCAGGTGGCTTTCCTTGTGTGTGTGTGCATTAGTTTGATTAAATAGGGCGAGGAGGGTAGCGGGCGTCTCCTAACTAAGAAGATGGAGCGCCTGTGAGCATTTGAGCCACGATGTTTTAATGTCCTCAGTAAGTCTTGTGGTCTGCATCCAGCTTTATGTGCTTGAGGTGGCGACGTACTTCACCTGCATGTACTGACGTCATCCATTCTCTCTCTCTGTCTCTCTCTTGCAGATTGTGATGTCAGACTCCTGGGTGCCGGGGTCACTCTTAAAAACAAACAAAACATAATTCGCTATCCTGGATGTTGCTGTTTTCACTTGTTTTTT